CTCATTGGTTAAGAGCACTTGGGATTTAGTCCCCAGGACCCACAAGATGGGCCCCAAACCAGTTTTAGGAATTTGTTGCCCTCTACTGGCTTTTACAGGCATTGCATCCATGTGCTACATATATGCAGGCAAAATACCCAAATACATAAAGTAAAAATAGATCTAAAAATGAAACATTAGGAATGACTTGACCCATGTAGTCACTTTGCAGGTCTCATTGGTTACCTAGAGAAGAGCAGTTTCACACCAGGTGAGTCCGATTTTAGCCTGTAGTCAGGCTTCAAAGAGTAAGTCCCTTGGATTTGGATTGATGCTTTAGACCGAGGAGAATAAGCAGGAAAGGGAAGGCTTCACGTATGAACTGGCATGTAGACCAAGCATTTTAGTCTAGGGCAATGGGTAAATTCTAGTTCTGAAAGTTACAGTGAAAACCCAAGAACAAGACTAAAAGCAGAAAAAGCCAGTGTTTGGACTACGCTGCAAGATGTATGGAAAGAGGGATTTTATTTGTGCTCTTAACATTCTGTAAATGAGCCCATAGGACTGGGGGGGAGGCACGCAGCCCAGATTGCTCAGTGCAGATCCAGTCTGCTGTGATTAATAGCAGCTGTTGGAGAGGAGCGCGGCCAAAGGCTTGCATTTCTTAAAAATATGCACAGCGATGCCAGGAGTGACAGAAATGAAAGGTTATCATACATTCTCCTGCCAAATTCAGGTCCTGTCCATAGGGGTTCAGACCAAATGTGTGAAGTTGAGCTTCATTTCTTTAGCCAGCCAGTGCTGTAAATGGGACTGTTGTTATACTTACTCATCGTAATGTCCAGGGATGAGGGTTATGAGTGACGGAACAGCTAAGGGTTTCCTTGACTTTGTGGTGGTGTGGCTATGATGTTTGGAAGCTGCTCGGTGGGTTTTCCTACTGATGTAGGATTTTTATCTTTACAGTGTCTCTGTAGTGAGAACTACCCTTCCCAGTTTATAAGACAAGCCCAGCATTGCAAAAAAGTCCAAACCAGCCTGTCTCCCTGCTCTTCCCATCACGGAATGGGTATGCATACATGACAGGGTCGCAGGAAGAACAACTGGCTACAGCTGCCCGTCCGATGTCCTAAAACACAGAACAGAAATCCCACTGAGGCTTCCTGGGGATATTTTTGCCTATAGGAAAGAAAAGGTTATTCACAACTCGTAATGAAGGCCCTTAAGATGGACAGGACTTTAATGTCTAGATATGAGCCATATGAACTGGTGGCAAGGGGGGACAAGACTGACACGTGGTAGGAGTGGGAAAGCTAGGGACATAGCAAGCAGACTGCCGTAGAAGGCCTGGGTATTTCCTGAATCTAGGCTTAGTCACACTTGGCTGCAGTGGATGCACAGGGGACTTATTGGTGAGTTTAAAGTACCCTGTTACCACACAAAGAAAGGGACATACTAAAAACTAAATCTGGACTGCTTTCACTGGAGAGAAAGAACAGCATAAATGTTCAGTTGGGTTTCTTTTCTTTCTTTCTTTTTAAAATAAGTCTGAATGTTATTCAAGGACAAGTTAATCTAACCTCGGTCTTGATGGAGCTCTGTTTCCTCATTGAAATTGCTCCAGAGGTAGATAACAAAATCAAAGAAAGCTGGCTAGCAGGCTGAGACTAAGTGGTTCCAGTTTAATATGAGGGACACACCTTGATGATAGAAGTGCCTCAGTAGCCAAGATTACCTGTAAACCTGGACTTAACTCTGGTCTCCTTAGGACTCATGAGGGAACCTCCAGCAGGTGCCTCGCGCATCCATGTCATTGCAGAACACAAGTGGGTAACCTTGGAGGCAAGGGCAGTCAGCGTTGCTGGTGGTACTTCAAACTTAAGCCAACCCAGGCTGCTGGAGCTAGCTATTATGTTGTGTCTTGGGTTTAGGTTTATAGTCAAACTTAAGTTTCAGTGAAACAATGAAGCACCTGTTTTCATGGAGGGGAATAAAAGATTGACAGAACATCAAAAGAAAGCCAGAGTGGATGGCCTCACAGCAAGCCTTTAGCAGTTGTAGACCCTTGGAATGTTTTTATTCCTGTCTGGGCAGTGTGGAGTTGTTGTTGTTGTTTTGGATTTTTTTTGCAAATCAATACCTAGGACTTAGTGGTATCACTAAGTGATAGCACTAAAACATGCTATCACTCATGTTTTTGTGTGGAGAAGTGTTTATTGTTTATTTCAAGGAACAGGCTCTGATTTCACATGGTTTGAAAATCAAATTTAATGGCTCATAAAACTGAGGCATTCAGGAGAAGCTGGAGTACAGCCAAGTTAGGGACTCAAAGGCTAAGCCTGTCTCCCTTCCTCTGTATTGGCTCCTTAGGCTCTTCATTTACAATAGTTCATACCTCTACTCCTTATCCACCCCGTTTTAAAGCACGATTCTGGGTTTACCTTTCATGGAACTAGATTGGCAAGAGGTTTTATGTTCATACCTGCTTGAGGGTTGCCACGGTGTGAGTGGCATGTTGTAACCCAGTCCCCACTGTGACAGTGTTGGGAGGCAGGGGCCAGCAGAAAAACTGAAGACTAACTAAATGGATTAATGCCACTATAACAAGGTTCTGGGAAAGAGTTTCCTTCTCTGTCTTCTGCCATGTGAGGATAGTCTCTGTATTGAAGACACAGTCTTGGAAGCAGAGATCAGGGTCCCAGAGCAGACACCAAGCCTGCCATTGCTTTGGTCTTGAACCTTCCTGCCTTCAGAACTCTGAGAAATACATTTCTATGTTTTACAAACCATCCAGACTGAATCTGTTACAACAGCACAGAACAGGCTAAGACCAGCAGAGCCAATACCACAGAAATGAGTGCATTCAAGCTGTGTGGGGTGACGCTCTACACAGGAATCTTACTGACATGGCCTGTTTGGCTCAGCAAATGACTCTGGCATGATCTCAAACTCCTATGGGAGACACCAGACCAAACAGAGACACTGGGATGCCCAGATTGTTTCTTAGCAGACACTGCACATGTCAGTGCTTTTAAGAAAGTCCAGATGCATTCTGGTTGGCCAGAACCCATGTCTTTCTAGCTCAGCATGGAAGCCCCTTCCTTCTGCTTGGGGTTGTGGGGCTCCTCCTTTCTTACTATTGCCAAAGACATGCTGTCCCTACGTCCACATTGTACAATGCTGGATCTGTCTGCCTTGCCTCAGTCTCTTGGCTCCTTTGGTGGCCTGTTATCATATACCAGGAATAGGTTTTTCTAAAACAGAAGTCCTGACATTTTCAAGACGAGTACCCTGACTATGCACACTCACCCTGCTGGTCATCATGGTGTAGCATTCAGTCTTTGTCTTGGTCTATTTTCTTTTGCTGTAACATACCCGAAGCTGGATTACATTATAAAGGAGTTTACTTTGACTAACAGTTCTGGTGACTGTGAAGTCTAGGATTGGTTCCCACAGAGTTACATGCTGACCCATGTGTGGCAGGAAAGTAGAAGGCTATATTCATAAACGGTGTGTTCATACAGAGAAGTGCTTTCTAACAGCCTCCCATTGTTAGAATGCATCCATTCCCTCTGTATGTATAACTGGGACTCCCAGGAGCCAAATACCTACCACTAGGAACCAGCCCCTAAAGCTGCCACACAGAGTAATTAAATTCCAGAGTGAGTTTGGTAGACACTAATGACACTCAAACCATATAATCAAGTTTCTAAATGCTTGCCTGAATTTTGCCTTGAACTGGTCATTTCTAACTTATGTCAGGAAAGAGAGGTGTTTCTCCCATGCTCGGGATTACAGTCTAGGGCAGTACTACGAGAAGAGGGACAGGGTATTCACTGAAATGATTAGTTGTATAAATATTTAATAAAGGTCTCACTGGGAAACTGTATAGAGATCTGGACCCACCTTAATGGTTGTATGGGAATCCATCCTCTTTCATTGTTAAAGATTGAAGCTTCTCCCTCCCTGCCTTGCTCATCAGGACTTCCCTGTATTCTAATTAGGAGTATGTTTATAAGGAAATGTTGGCTTTTATAACCAGCCATATCCTAGAGAGGCAAGAGACACACCCAGAAACTTAGCAGGCAAAGGGCTCCAAATACCCCTCACTGAAGGGAAGGCCAAAAGAGGTGTTGGGAAAAGGGATTATTTCACTGCACTAGTCAGGGGACCATGGATACAAGGTCCCTTCTTGGCAGGCTGACTGAGAATGCTGGCATTCCAGCCATTAGAGCTGTCCCAGGAGGCCACTTTATTAAGGGGGATTAGAGAATGTTGTCCCTAAATCATACACAGTCTGGGATTAACCTTGTATTTCCCATCACATCAGACCATGTCCATAGATTGTCCCCACATACTTTCACAGTCACTGCTGAGGGGGGGACTTGGTAGCATTTCCTGAACCTGCCAGAGAGGGAGAACCAACTGTTGGCCGGATTAGAGGACTTGGAGGTTAGTGAAGCGCACAGGAACTTATTTGGCAGCCATCTGGGCAGTTTGTTGTGGTGACCGCAGGCCTGGGTGCTTGCAGTTGTACTAGCCACAGACCCAGGTGATGCGAGCTGTAATTGGATGAACACTAGCAGGCACATATAAACATGCTCATAGTTTATGTACATTAAATGTTAAGAATGTAATGTCTTTACACTGAATTAAACGTGTGTGAAGCAAATGACTCTACTTAAGTGTAAGATTTCCAGCTGAGTTTTTAAAGGGTTCATTAAGAAGTGGGTGTGGGAGGGGCAGTGCCTGCCTCTCCTCCCCGGGTTAATAATTCCTGTGGATTCTAGCGTTCTACTTTCGTGACCTGACTCTTCCACTGAATGCAAGTCCTTTGTCTCCTACAAAAGAGAGGCTGCCCGAGCCAGTTTCCTAATGAGAGCTATAATTTGGAAGACATGGGGGGCTATGCTGGAGGGACGCGGACCTTTGAAATACGTGGTGCATGAAGAAGCAGGATCTGCTGGTAGGGAACTTGGAAGACAAACATAGGGCATCCTAACGCATCCTTTGTTCCGCAGAATGCCTGTCTGGGGCGGTGGAAATAAGTGCGGGGCCTGTGCGAGGACTGTGTACCACGCCGAGGAGGTGCAGTGTGATGGGCGGAGCTTCCACCGCTGCTGCTTTCTGTGCAGTGAGTATGGCCCCCTCCACCTTTAGAGAAACTGTACAAAAAGCTCCAGTAGACTTCTTGAAGAAAAATAACGCTAGCTAATAGTAGAGTGGTTTCTATTATCTTTGGTCTTAAGAGTGCCCCGCCTTCCATTCTGGCTATTTGGCCTTTGCACGTGTTACCTGTGTTTGGTGGCTTCTGGGCAGCCTGGCACCTACCAAAGTTTCTGGCACACCCTGTGTGTTTGGCTTGGTTTTGATAAGTAAGTTGATCTTTGCCAGTTTCTTTTTCTGGTTGGGTTCCTTTCTGACATATTCTTAGCATACCGTGGGCTGAGGTCCAGACTCTACCAGCTTAGTTTCTACCTGTCGGTGTTAGGTTACTTGTAGTTATTGGTATTCTTTTTTTATTTTTATTTTTTTGGGGGGCAGGGTTTCTCTGTGTAGCTTTGGAGGCTGTTCTGGAACTTGCTCTGTAAACCAGGCTGACCTCAAACTCACAGAAATCCACCTGCCTCTGCCTCCCGAGTTCTGGGATTAAAGGTGTGCGCCAGCACCACCCAGGCGTTATTGATATTCCTATTTTAGGAGAGTATAGGACACCAAGAGTCCCTATAGGCATCATGGGAATTATTGTTTATTAGGTGTGTGGTAGGAAGTATGACACAAAACAACATACATCTGTGTGTTCTGAAGAGTAAACACACCATAATAAGAGAAACAAGAAGAGAGAAACCCTTCACAAGACACGGAAGTCTGAAGTTTCAGAGCGGTAGCCGCATGACTTGAGAAGGCCCCCTCATTAGTCACCATGAGTCAAATGATGGAACTTTCCTTAATGAAGAATCCAAGCATGTGGAGATCTGCTTATTCATAGCGCTATACAGTGACAAGTGCTGTGTTTTAAACATAGCTTAAACATATGCTTAAAAAGGCCAGTTTTAAGCATAGACTTACTGAGTCAGGTGTGGTAGGTAGCACAGACCTTTAAACCCAGCACTCAGGAAGCAGAGACAGGCAGATCTCTGAATCTGAGGCCAGCCTGGTCTACATATCAAGTTCCAAGGCAGCCAGGTGACATGAATAAACATTGAGACTCTGTCTCTAAAAACAGCTTACATGAACTGAGAATTAAACTTTAAGAAAAAGACTTTCAAATGTGGCTTGTCCCCTTTCCATAGACACCAACATTCAAGTTGTTTGGACTTCATACATACAGTATGCCTACTTCAGAACTAACAAAAAGCTGTGCTTACAAAAAGTAAAATGATTACACATGTGTGTTTTTTTATGACTTCATAATGGCTGATCGTCAGATTTGGTTGCACTGTTTCTTTTCCAAGGCCATAGCTTTTTTCTTTGTGATCCCCCCCCCCCCCCCCCCCCCCCGAGACGGGGTTTCTCTGTGTAGCTTTGGAGCCTATCCTGGCACTCTGGAGACCAGGCTGGCCTCGAACTCACAGAGATCCACCTCCCTAGTGCTGGGATTAAAGGCGTGAGCCACCAAGCCTGGCCCGTGATTTTTTTTTTTTTTTTTTAAAGGAATCCATATTTCAACAGGCATGTAACTAAGCTAAATGTTGGAAATGTGAAATGTAGATATTTTAGAAACTTCTCATTTTTTTCTGGGTTGAGTCCTGATGGTTGTACCGAGAAAAAAAAAAAAAAATTCTCTGAAGACCAGTCTGGCCTCAAGCTCAGAGATCCTCCTGTCTCTGCCTCTATCAGTGAGCGATATCCTCAGCCCTAATATACATGTTTTTGTGAATAGGTTTTGTATGGACTTATGCTGTATTAAGGCATATTTACCCTTAAGGGCTGGAGGTTCATATCTTTTAAGCAATTGCATTTTAACCTGGAGCCTGAAGTTGAAGTCCACAGTAGCTGCCATTTATTCTTCTAGAGAAAACTTTAGTCTAAGATATTAGAAGCTATGGCAATGCAGCCAGCCAGCTGTTCTTTTGTCCACCACGCCCCCCCTTTTGTAAAGGGGCAAAATTCCTCTCCATCCCACTAAGCTTTGGTTTCCAGCTGCCTGACTGTGCCCACCAGTGAGTTCCTTCACAAGGTTTTGGTTTGTTTTTTTGTTTTTTTTTTTTTTCCATTTTTCTTCTCAAGCTGATTTGAAGTTTTAGAAAGTGAACTAATGTCTGCAGAAAGCGTGATGACATTTGGCAGTTTTATCCAGTGGGGTACATAGAAATGCTTGTGGTAAGAAAGCCATCAGGAAAGAATGCATTCTCCTCCAGACAGGGAAAACAAATGCTGGCTTCAGATCCCTGGACAGACCCGCTCATCACCGCTGGGGAAGCTGGAAGAATGATTTTTTTTTTTTTCATTCTAGACTAGAGATAAAAACTAGCATTTTGGATTAAAACTTTTTATCTGGAATGTGCTTCTAGGTGGAGGGGGGGCAGCAGAGGCCATTCCTTGGCCGTCACCACTCTTTTTGTTCTTTATCAGGTTGTAAGGTAAATATTTGGCGTAACAAGGCAGGAATAATGAGTGTTAGAGGTCGAAAGGAAGGGCTGAACAATGTTTAAAGGCTAACTTTGCCCGCTTAGTGGTTTGCAGGAAAAATTTAGACAGCACGACAGTGGCAATTCATGATGACGAGATCTACTGCAAATCCTGCTACGGAAAGAAGTATGGACCAAAAGGCTATGGTTACGGTCAGGGTGCTGGCACGCTCAACATGGACCGTGGTGAGAGGCTGGGCATCAAACCAGAGAGGTGAGAGAATGCTTGTTACTGTCTTAAAAGTGGGTTGGACAATTGCTGTTGCTCGGGTGACAGGAGCCTGGGAATTTCTACATGGTTAGCTTAAACTAAGCAAGCCAGATGTAATATAACCTCTACTAAATGCTAATGTAAACTCTATGACATTCTTTAATGTCAAAATATTGACATTTTTTACTTAAAGTCTTAGAAATTATTGCAGGGACTTATTGCAGGGACTGCTAGCCCTGCTTTTATCAGGAAAACATAGGTCTCAAAGAAAGTGACTTAAATTAACATTCCATAGCACTTTGGAGATCAAATATGAAATCAGTGTCCGAATCATGAGACAGTTCTTGTATACAATTGAGCAGTTCATGGAAAGTCCTTAGTCACCCTTTCCTCAGGAAATTACTGTCCTTTCACTTAAAAAATGAAACAATTTCCTGTTTCTGATTATTCGAGGGACAAATGTGACCAAAGTACCAGAGTGGTAATCTGCTCAAGTTACTCAGTGCTTCATGTCCTGTTAAATAATTTCATTTGGAACTTCCACTCCCTGTTTCCTTCCTTCTTTCCTTTCCCATATTTTGAAGTAGGGTCTCCCTGTATGGTCCAGGAACTGCCACTATAGCCCTTGTGGACACTGTTAAAATGTACTGTACATTGTACACTCGCCTTTTAAGCGCATTCCTGATTCTAAAGGTTTAATTTCAAAATTATTGTTTTCAAAATACATGATACCTCTAAACCTTCCCTTCAATGAAAACTAAATTCATCCATGACCTCCAAAGTCAGTGTTTGTAGCCATAACTGGAAAACTGCAATGGCAAGGGAAGTTGCTCTTTTTGCTGCTTCTCTGTCTTTTCCAGCAGTAAGCAAGCTGTGTGCATGCCCTATGTCCCGCTGTACCCTTCCCTGCCTGGTCCTTCTTGGCGGGGCCTGTGGACCAGGTTTAAGGACTTCCTTTTCCCAGAAGCCTTTCTTAAAGATTTAATACACAGATTAAAGAGATTCACAAGGGCAGTGAGTGTTTTCAGTTTGGGCTTCCACCAATAAGTTATTTAGCATCGGACCCCCCCCCCCCTTTTTTTAATCTGTAATATGAAGTATCCATACCCTGTGAAGTGGTTAAAAGGCCAGAGTGAGGTGATATGTGGAAAGGTCTTAATGACATATTTGGAATTCTTTTCTTGGGACTCTATCAAGTGTTAGATGCCATTTTTAGCAAGTTTTTAAACGATCGCTTAAATTGTATCAGTAGGTTTTGGAAATGTCTTGAATATACACCTTAGGGAAAAGTGAAGAAACATACTGTGAATTCACACTTTGACTCAGATCCCCCCCCACACACACACTCATACAGACATTCAAAGACTGCTACATATTCAACAATTCGTGTAGAAAACTCTCAAATACAGAATGAAGAGGGATGAAGAGGCAGGTGAAGTTTTTGAAAAATTAATGAAAAAGTCAGCATTTCTATATTAAGACTGTATCAGACTTATGATTGTGCTTTAACAATGTATTGCACAGCCCAGAGCTGTCCTACAGTATACCTGTCAACTTAACTTCAGTGTCTAAGATGTCCCTGTAGGCAAGAGGATGTCTTGTATATTCTAGTGTGCCTGCTTATGAATGGGGGGAGATAATCCTGCTAAATATGATTTACCCTCATAACCTGTAAATAGTGACAAAAATACCATCCTGCCATAACAAAATGTAAACAGAAAATGTAAAAAGCAAAACAGAGCAGAGTAACAGGGAAATTTCTAGAAGTATTTCCCATGAAGAAAATAGTTAACTCACACTTCACCGGCCAAAGATCTATTGAGCAAATAATCTGTAAAATGACTTATGACTTCCTTTCCTATATGAACAACTTAAGCCAGCCAATGTATCTGCAGGTATTTTTAATTCCAGAATTGTTTAGCGCTGACTTTGCCATTTCCTGAGAAACACAAAGCTAGCCATGATCAAGTTGCATTGATGGCTGTGGAGAAGAAAGAACTGCTTAGACAGAGGGCAGCGCTAGGGACTTCGTAAATTCTGTTCACATCCAGGAAAAAGATACTTAAGTCAGGACAGGGGTGGGAGTGGGAGTGGGGGTGGGGGTGGGGGTTGGGCTTGCCTTTTTCTAATTCTGATGAAGACAGACACAGGTTAA